GAGGAGAGGGAGGAAAGGAGGGAGGGCGCGAGAGAGGAGAGGAGGGAGAGAGAGAGAGAGAGAGGCAGGGGGAAGACGAGAAGAGGGAGGAGAGGACAGCAGGGGGAAGAGAGAGGAGAGAGAGAGAGAGGGAGGAGGAGGCGGAGAGGGAGGAAGAGGGGGAGAGAGCGAGCGAGGAGGAGGGAGGAGGAGCGGACGAGAGAGGAGAGGAGGTAGGGGGAGGACGAGGAGGAGGAGGAGGAGGAGGCGGAGGCGGAGGAGGAGGAGGAGGAGGAGGAGCAGTAGGAGGGGGAGGACGAGGAGGAAGAGCAGGAGGAGGGGGAGGAGGAGGAGGAGGAGGAGGAGGAGGAGGAGGAGGAGGAGAACTGGCGAAGACGCCCGAAAACCTCAGCGATTCCCGATCTGCCCCTGTCCGATTTTGTCCTTCTTGACAGCCCTGGGGCCCGGCAAGGGCCCCTGGAGGCCGAGAGCTGGGAAGAACCTCCGTTCTGCTCTTGTCCATGCGCTGGATTCTGTGATTCCCGGTCTGCCCCTGCCCGATTCTGTCCCCGTCCCGGCTTCGCCTCAGGGCGGCGCGCTCGCGGGTGCCGGCGGCGGGGGCTCCGCGGGGCAGCCCGCCGCCTCCGCCCGGGCGCGCGAGCCGGCGGCCGCCCAGGCCGAGGCGGCGGCGGTGGCCGCTGGGCGGGGCAGCGCGGCGGCTGCCACGGACGTCGGGCTGCCAACCCCGGGAGCCCGGAGCCCCTCGGGTCCTGAGCAAAAGAGCGCGACGGGAGGTTTTCCACTCTGTTCGGCCTCGGGGAGCCCTCGGCGGGCCTCGGGACGGGCCAAGGGCGACTCGGGATGAAAAGTCCCCGGGAAGGCGTCGAGACCTCTGGGGGTCGACGTTCTGACAAACATGGCATCGGGGATCTGGGAGATCCGACGCTCCGAAAAATGGAGGCGGCGGGTTTTGCGCCGTGTTCGGCCTCCAGGGGCCCTCGCCGGGCCTCGGGGCCGTCAGAAAACGACTCAGGACGAGAAATTGGGGCCCACGCATCCAAAAAATTGGAACAGCCTGATGTCTGGGACGGGCCCCCGGCTCATTTGTAGAACGGTTTCTGGAACGCTCCTCCTCCGTCTCCTCCTCCTCCTCCTCCTCCTCCTCCTCCTCCTCCTCCTCCTTCGACGCTGCAAAGCCCGCAGCCCTGCCGCGCCGTTCAAAACGATGTGTAACGTTCTACGTTTCACCTCCACCAATGTTTTTGGTGCCGTGTCCTTGGTTGGATTAGTGTCGAATGAGTTCGAACATGTGTGCTTGGACTGGATTCAGATTGAGTTCTTGAAAGAGTTCAATATGCAGCCTTGTAATGACTTCAAGCACTGGTCATGAAAGAATGCAAGGAATAGTTCTTACCATTGTAGAGAGGTGTTCAGTTGAATTCAAAAGCCGTTCTACAAATAAAGTTCCTTAGAATTCACTCGACTATCGTTTGTTTGAATTCGCTCGGCCACCGTTCTACATATACCATTGCCTTCCCCACAGGGGCACACCATGCAGTTGGCACACCGAGTGCGCGACGGAGTAAAAACGGGCTCGACTGCGGAAACAACTTCGCGTGAGCTGCCCGCCAAAGGTTGCGCGTAAGCGCCCTCGTCTCCACTGCGGCGTGCCGCGCTGACGGCCCGTGCAGGCCACGTCGTGAGGTCGCTGTGCCATCTCTCGTGAGACCCTCGTCTTGTCGTGGCCGATTGCCCGGCGACCCCGGGCAACCCATCAGAGGATCGGAGCTCCAGGGCACCCCGCGAAGTCTGGCGCCGGCCGAGCAGTGTGCCCCCAGGGTGAGCGCAGGAAGACTTTGAACGTATGTGTCTACTGTAGCACTGCCTTCCCGTCGGGGGAGTCGGGCCCTGTCTTCCGTTCTCTATGCAGTGCCGATGCTACAGGCCCGTTGCTGTTTCTTCGATCGTGCTTCCGAGCCCTAACTCGGCCTACCGATGGCTGACCTGCGCGTTTCTCCTAATATCTTGAATCGAGGGCTCTTGTTATTAGAGTGACACCCCAACCTCTCGCACGCTCACCTCCCAATTCTGTGTTCTGTCGCATTCAGATTCCTCTCGCTTCGCGGGGTGCACGTCCGGGGAGCACGTACAGTCACGTCGTCGCGGGGCCTCTTGGGAGCCTCTTGGGGGCCTCCTGGAGGCCTCCTGGGAGTTTCTTTGGGCCTCTTGGGGGCTTCTTTGGGGCCTTTCCCCCCTCCTTCCTTTTCATACACCCTCCCCGTCATCCCTTCCAGCGCCGGCTCTAATCATGGGCGCCGCAGTGACCAGCTTCCACCTGGCTGGCGCTGCGCCGCAGTTCGCCCAGAGGGGGGAAAAAGAACATTACACTCCAGTCGCTGTGTGGCCTTTGGGGGGTTTTGGGTGGCCTTTTGGAGGCTTCTGGGGGACTTCTTGGGGGCCTCTTGGGGCCTCTTGGGGGCGTTTTGGGCCGTCTTGGGGCGCTGTTGTGCCGTGTCGCCCACTCCGAGGCTGTCTTGGGGGCCTCTCGCGGCCGCATTGGAGCCCTCTTGGGGTCCTCTTGGGCCGTCTTCGCGGCCTCTTGGGCCGTCTTGGGGGCCTCTTTGGGCAGTTTTGGGGCCCTCTTGGGCCGTCTTGGAGCCCTCTTGGGGGCTTTTTGGGTTGTTCTGGGGCGATTCTGGAAGCTGCTTGGGCCGTCATGGATTTTTGAGAGTCGAAAAAAAACAGAACGCTAACATATTGCAGGAACCATCGGAAAATCAATGATTTCGGCCTCTGGAGGCGCAGTTGTGGGCGCTCTTGGGGCCCTCTTGGGCCGTCCTTGGGTCGTTGGGGGCCCTGTGGGGGCCGTCTTGGGGGCCTCATGTGCCCCCGTTGGGGATATCTTGGGCCGTCTTGGGGCCATCTTGGGCCATCTTGAGGCCCTTTTGGAGCCCCAAGAGGCCCAAGAGGCCGAACTTGTTGATTTTTCATATGTTTCTGTAAGTTTTTAGGGCCCCAGAAGGGGGGGTCATTTTGGTCCGGCGGTGTGGCGCAGCTCCCAGGGGGGGTTAGGGGGGAGACATGATAATGTATTACAATACAATATGTTGAAATTTGGAATCTTTTGGATACATTGGATACTTTGCATTAAGGCGTTCGCCGAAAAACGCTGCCGCTCAGCACGTCACCTCCTGACGTGGATTCTGAGGCTTACGCCACACCGCCGACCCCTTGGGGGCCTTTTCGGGGGCGGGCGGGCTGTATTCGGACTCTCTTAGGTCGTCTCGTAGACTCTTTCGGTTGCGTTTTTTTGATTTTCTTCGAGAGCTGAAGGGGAAAAAGGGAAGAGGGGGCGAAAAAGAGAGAGAGAGCGTGATCCACCGCCGCTTTACTGCGGAAAATTGCCCAACTTTTCCTCCGGAGCCCGGGGGTTTCGCCCACCCCCCCCCCCCTCGAAATCCCCCCCTTCTGCTGGAACCTCCCCCCGCCCCCCCCCCCCCCACGCCCCCGGCAAAAACCCCCCCTCCCCCCACCCCATTCCCCCCCCTACCCCTTCCCCTCCCCCGAAAACCGGAGGGGGTCACTAGCCGGTTCGAAAAACCTCCCCCCCCCCACCTTCCCTACGGATCCGGCAAACCGGGTGGGGGGGGTCACTACCAGTTCGAACCCCCCCCCTCCTCGAAAACCGGAGAGGGATCACTACCGTTCGACCCCTCCCCCCCCCCCCACGCACCGCCAGCAATCGACTCCCGGTCCCTACCACCGTCCGCATCAAATCCCCTACTGTTGTTCCCAGCACCACTGTCCTCACCACCACTGTCCCCAGTGGTTCCACCACCGTCCCTACTGTCCCCACCAGTGCCCCCACCACTGTCGCACTGTCCCCGCTGTCCCCAGAACTGTTCCCACCACGGTTCCACTCTCCCCACTGTCTCCACGGCCCCAACCACTGCCCGACTATCCCCACTGTCCCCACTGTCCCACTGACTCCTCCGCTGTCCCACTGAGCTGTCCCACTGTTCCCACCACTGTCCCCACTGTCCCCACCACTGTCCCCACTGTACCTCTGTCCCATTGTCCCACCGCCGTCCTCGCCACCGCCTTCACCACTGTCCCCACCACCATTGTACCCTCCACTGTCCCACTGTTTCCACCTCATTCCCATTGTCCCCACACCACTGTCCCCACCACCACCGTCACCACCACTGTCCACTGTCCCCCCCTGTTCCCACCATTGTCCCCACCATTGTCCCCACCACTACCGTCCCCACCACTGTCCCACTGTCCCACTGTCCCCACCACTGTCCCGCTGTCCCCTCACCACTGTCCCCACCAACACCGCCACCACTGTCCGCACCCCCGCTCGGTTTTCGAAGGGGGGGGGGGGGTTCGAACCGGTAGTGACCCCCCCCGGTTTTCGAGAGGGGGGGGGGGGGAGGGGTTCGAACCGGTAGTGACCCCCCCCCTTTTCATGATGAATGGGGGGGGGGAGGGGAGGGGTTCGAACCGGTAGTGGCCCCCCCCAGTTTTCCGGAGGGGGGGGGAGGGGTTCGAACCGGTAGTGACCCCCCCCCGGTTTTCCGCCAGCAGCGGTAGAACACGCTCTTTCGAAAAAGAGGATGAAAAAGAGCAGGAGAATACGACGCGGAAGACAAGGGCGGCGACGGACTGGCGCCGTCGTGCGAATCCTCTCGGGGGCCTGCGGGATGGAGTTTGGATGCTTCTGGGGAGCTGTTTTGGGGCCTCTTGGGGCCTCTTTTGGACTTCTAGGGGGCCTCTTGGGCGCCTCTTGGGGCCTCTTGGGGGCCCCTTGGGGCCTCCTGGGTGCCTTTTGGAGCGGAAAGCTAGAATTTTAGGTTCGTGGTTCCCGTCTGGAGCCTTTCTTGGGGGCCTCTTGGGGCCCTCTTGAGCTGCCTTGAGGCCCTCTTGGGCCGTCTTGAGGCCCTCTTGGGCCGTCTTGGGGCTCACTTGGGGGCCTCTTGGGTCGTCCTGGGGCGTTCTTGGGGGACTCTTGCGCCGTCCTGGAGCGTCGGAAGCCGAGAAAAGCGAGAAGGCCAAAAACTTAGAAAAAAACACATGAAAAGCAATGGTTTTGGCCTCTTGGGGCCCTGTTGGGAGGCCTCTTGGAAGCCTCTTCGGGCGTCTTGGCGGCATCTTGGGCCGTCTGAAGGCGATCTTCGCCGTCTTCGAACGATTTTTCGGCGACTCGGGGCGCTCTTAGGCCGTCTTCAGAGCTTCTTGGGAGCCTCTTGGCTCGTTTTGGGCCCCCCAGCAGACTTTCTGGAACGGATGACCCCCCCCCCGGCCCGCGCCGGGGAGGCCCGGACCGGCCGGCCGGGCCCCCCCCCTTTCCAAATCGACCGGACCAGGCTCCGGGGGAGGGGTTTGGGGAGGGGGAAGAATCTCACACGCCGATGATCCCCAAGGGGTCGGCGGATTTTTCCTCATGTTCAAATTCATTCATTATCCTGTTCACCTGCACTCTGGCTATTTCATATTCAGGTTCTCTCATATTCAGGCTCATACTGTGCACTTCGACTCGCTCACATTCAGACTTACTCATACCCAGACTCCTTCACATTCATGTCACTGATACTGAAACTCACTCGTATTCGTTCATATTTAGACCCGTTCAGACTCCGGCTCGCTCGCGCCCAGGAGCCACCCATACCCAGCCACTCATACTCGGACTCAGATGCACATATGGGATCTCCGCGTTGACAACTACAACCTTCTTGAGCATATCGTCGAGCTCGCCGTGCTAGTGTGAGTACCGAGCCCCTCGAGGACAGCTGGGGCGACTTCGACCTCGACCTGGGCTCGGAAGGAGGACCCGGCGCTGGGCAGCCTTGCAGCGCGAAGGCTGCGGGGGCGACTGAGCTCGACCTCGACTTCTTCGACGGCTGGGGCGAGGAGAGCGCGACCGATCACGCGGCGCGGGAGGAGAAAGAGCGCAAGGCCACGGAGGAGGCCGAGCGCGCCGCACAGGAGGAGGCAGCCCAGAAAGCCAGGGAGGAGGCCGAACGCGCCGCACAGGAGGAGGCAGCCCAGAAGGCCAGGGAGGAGGCCGAGCGCATTGCTCAGGAGGAGGCAGCCCAGAAGGCCAGGGAGAAAGCCGAGCGCGCCGCACAGGAGGAGGCAGCCCAGAGGGCCAGGGAGGAGGCCGAGCGCGCCGCCCAGGAGGAAGCAGCAAGGAAAGCCAGGGAGGAGGCCGAGCGCGCCGCCCAGGAGGAGGCAGCCCAGAAGGCCAGGGAGGAGGCCGAGCGCGCCGCAGAGGAGGACGCAGCCCAGAAGGCCAGGGAGGAGGCCGAGCGCGCCGCACAGGAGAAGGCAGCAGAAGGCAGGAGGAGGCCGAGCGCGCCGCCCAGGAGGAGGCAGCCCGGAAGGCCAGGGAGGAGGCCGAGCGCGCCGCCCAGGAGGAGGCAGCCCAGAGGGCCAGGGAGGAAGCCGAGCGCGCTGCACAGGAGGAGGCAGCCAGAGGGCCAGGGAGGAGGCCGAGCGCACTGTCCAGGAGGAGGCAGCCCAGAAGGCCAGGGAGGAGGCCGAGCGCGCCGCCCAGGAGGAGGCAACCCAGAATGCCAGGGAGGAGGCCGAGCGCGCCGTCCAGGAGCATGCAGCCCAGAAAGCCAAGGCCGAACGCGCCGCCCAGGAGGAGGCAGCCCAGGAAGCCAGGGAGGAAGCCGAGCGCGCCGCACAGGAGGAGGCAGCCCAGAGGGCCAGGGAGGAGGCCGAGCGCATTGCCCAGGAGGAGGCAGCCCAGAAGGCCAGGGAGGAGGCCGAGCGCATTGCCCAGGAGGAGGCAGCCCAGGAAGCCATGGAGAAAGCCGAGCGCGCCGCACAGGAGGCCGAGCGCATTGCACAGGAGGAGGCAGCCCAGGAAGCCAGGGAGAAAGCCGAGCGCGCCGCACAAGAGGAGGCAGCCCAGAGGGCCAGGGAGGAGGCCGAGCGCGCCGTCGAGGAGGAAGCAGCAAAGAAGGCCAGGGAGGAGGCCGAGCGCGCCGCAGAGGAGGACGCAGCCCAGAAGGCCAGGGAGGAGGCCGAACGCGCCGCCCAGGAGGGAGCCGAGCGCGCCGCCCTGGAGGGAGCCCAGGAGGAGGCCGAGCACGTGACACGAGGGAAGGCAGAGCGCGAGGCCAGGGAGGAGACCGGACGCGCAGCATCGGCGAGAGCAGAGCGCGGGGCCATGGAGGAGGCCGAGCGCGCGGCCTTCTCCTCCTCTTCCTCTTCCTCCTCCTCCTCCTCCTCCTCCTCCTCCTCCTCCCCCTCCTCCTCCTCCTCCTCCTCCTCCTCCTCCTCCTCCTCCTCCCCCTCCTCCTCCTTCGCCTCCTCCTCTTCCTCTCGGTGCAGGAGGAGTCGGAGGGCAGGGGCGCGGAGCAGACGCGGCGCGCAGCGCAGGAGGAGCCGGTGCCCGAGGCGGCAGGGGCGGCCGAGCGAGTCGCGGGAGAGGAGGCGGCGGAGGAAGCGAGGGAGGGCGCGGAGCGAACGGCGGCAGATGAGCCCCAGGGTGCCGCCCGGGGGGGCGCAGGCCAGCAGTGTGGGGAGGAGGCCGGGGAGGCCGCGCAGAAGGGTGCCGAGGAGGTGGAGGAGCAGGGCGCGGAGCAGGGCGCACCCGAGCGTGCGGAGCAGCACGGCGGCGAGGAGCGTCTGGAGGACGCCAGGGGGGTGGGCAGGGCGTCGGCGTTGTCGAGCCGAGCGGCCGCATGAACAGCGGGGGCGCGCATCAAGAAACCACATGCTTTTCTTCAGGGCATCCTGGGTTTTTCTTCGCTCCGCGAGCTGCGCGGTGACTTCCCGCAGCCGTTGAAGAAGCTGGTGCGTTCAGGGTGCGCTGGGTTTCCCCTCAGGTGCACCTCGCGCGCGGGTTTTCGGGTATGGGCTTCCTGCGACGGTTTCTTGCGGCCGCGCCCGCACTGTTACCACCATCCAGTTGTTCTAGTCCTGGGAGCCTTTGGCGTCCACGTCTTTGCCGCAACCGTGCAGGTCTCTACCACAGCTTCGGCCTACTCCCGTAACGTTGATTCCTAAGCAGCTACCTCGGCTCAGGAGCCTTTCATCTTCCATGCTTGGCTAATTCTGGGAGGAGTGCGGGCAGAGGTCGCTCAGAAAGCTGATGGGATCCCCGTGCACGCACGCGGAACGATGCAGGGTCGTCGTGCCGATTTTGCCCGGCCGAGGAGAACGTTCATCCGACTCACCAAATTCACGCAGCTTCCGGTGGCAAATGGTGGCAAGCCCTGCCACAGTGCCAGCGCAGCATGAAGGTGGGCTCAGGAGCGTCCTACATTTGGCCCACCTGCTACGCTGGTTCAAGCGGACCCTTATATGCCCCTCTCGGGACGTCTTGGGCGCGATGCTTTGCAGAGCTCTCTCCATGAGAGCTCGGTCGACCTTGAGGTCGTCTGGAGCCGTTTGCGGGAAGTCTCGGAGCCACCTGTTGGCAGTCCTGCGCTGTCCTGGGGCATGGGCCTCTCGTGGGTACCTGCTGGGGCTTGTCCGTGTTTGTCGGGTCGTCCTGGGGGTCGTGATGCCGTCGCGGGAAGTCTTGCTGCCGCCTTCGACATCCTGTGGTCGTCAGAGGAGGGTTAAATCGGGCCTGTCCCTCTACAGGAGGGAAAGTCAAAAATAGTCAAACAATAGTCTGGGGACAATTGTTTTCGCATTTTTGAGTGTTCTTGGCGTATTTGTTGGCTGTTTAGCATTTGTCGTCCAAGATCCCCCTGCAGGGGGACAGGCCCGACCTAAGAGGGGGGTGTCAGGCGGAGGTCGTGCGGCAGGTCTGAGCCGCGCTGCCGCCGGCGGCGGCCCGGCGTGGGCGCTCCAGGTCGAGCGCCGGCGGCGGCCCAGGAGCGGCTGATGCCGAGCGATCTGCGCTACGGAGAGCCGCGCTCGTTCGAGGCTGAGCGAGCCACGCGGCGTCAGGAGCCAACGCGCGCGACATCGCGGCGCGAACCAGCCGTGGGCCAGTCCCGTGTCACCAGTGGGGCCGTTCTGGGAAGGTTTTTGGGCGACCTCGGGGCCGGGACCTGTCCTGAGGACCTGCTGCCCACCAGAGGGGTTCTTCTGGGCCTTATCTGGCATGGGGTGAAGTGATCAACGCTTCCCTCCGATGCGAGACTGAATGCTGATACTGGGTGTTCTTGAGAGTCCGTGATTTGCTGGGCGGCCTCAGCCATTGCAGATGCGGGCTCCGCCGACCCTGAAACTAGAGCAGCTCGGGCACGGGAGGCGGAAGGGGGCACGGGAGCAGAGGACAGCGGCGGCTTCTGTCGGTTCGAGGGCGAACATAGCTAGGGGACGTCGGCCCATCCCGCTACCGTTCTTCGGTTGCGGACCAGGGCCCTTTTGGCGCCTCTTGGGGTCTCTTGGAGGGGCCTCGTGGGGACGTTTTGGGGCCTCTTGGAGGCCTCTGGGGGGACTCGAGGTTTCCAGGTGGCCCCTTCGTGGCTGCCGGGGCCTCCTCTGACTCGTCTTAGGGTCTTGTTCGCAGTCTGGGAGGCCATCTTGGGGGGAGGAGTCCTCGGACCCAGGAGGAGGAGGAGGAGGAGGAGGAGGAGGAGCAAGAGGAGCAAGAGGAGGAGGAGGAGGAGGAGGAGGAGGAGGAGGAGGAGGAGGAGGAGGAGGAGGAGGAGGAGGATGAGGAGGAGCAAGATGAGCAAGGGGAGGAGGCGGAGGAGGAGGAGGAGGAGGGGAGGAGGAGGAGGAGGAGGAGCAGAGGGGAGGAGCCCTGGGACCCATTTTGGCTCCCTCTTTGGGGCCCTCTCGGGGACTTTGGAGCCCCTCTTGAGAACTCGGGGGCCGTCTCGGGGAGGTCTGGGGCGCCTGCAAGACTCCCAAATCATGAGATGCAGAAGTTGGGCACACACGCACACAACACACACAAACCCACACCCACACCCACACCCACACCCACACCCACACCCACACGCACACCCACACGCTCACGCACACGCACACGCACACGCACACGCACACGCACACGCACACGCACACGCACGCACACACACAACACACAACACACAACAAACAACACACACAACACACAACACACAGCACACAACACACAACACGCAACACGCAACACGCAACACGCAACACGCAACACACAACACACAATACACAACACAACACACAACACACACCACACAACACACAACACACAGCACACAACACACAACACACAACACACAACACACAACACACAACACACAACACACAACACACAACACACAGCACACAACACACACACACAACACACAACACACAACACACAACACACAACACACAACACACATCACACAACACACAACACACAACACACAACACACAACACACACACACACACGCTCACGCTCACGCTCACGCTCACGCTCACGCTCACGCTCACGCTCACGCTCACGCTCACGCTCACGCACACGCACACGCACACGCACACGCACACGCACACGCACACGCACATGCACACGCACACG